TGTCTGTGATTTGCACTGGCTGTGATTTTTATTCCAGTCTACCTGTTTATTTCTAATTATATTTTGGAGTAGTTGGAAGCACTGGCTGACAGGCAAGCATTTATCATTATTATGCTACAGATGGATCAGAAACAAACATTACTGCCTATTGGAGTGTTTAAAACCTAAATCTACATATTTTGTAGGCAGAGTCTATTGTAGTTCAGCTCTGTCTTACCCTGCACCTTAGGAATGCCAGGTCACTTAATCTCCTGCTATCCAAAGCTCTTGGGGTACCTAAGGCTCCCCCCCTCCCTACCCAGCCCAGGCCATTTCCAGAGCAACAAGCCACATTTCAGGGTTCCCATGTTTTGCACTGGGATGTGGCACAGTTGATGTGGATTGGGACACACTGCAAAACAGTGCTTCAACATGACAAAATATTTTGGCTTGCATAAAAGACGAAGGAGGATATTACAGACATCTTTATAGTCATGGATGTTATGCAGAGAATCAAAAGGGAATGGTTATTTACTATTTTGAAAAAAAAACAAACCAAAAACACAACAAAACCAACCAAACCAAATACAGGAGACACCCCAGGAAATCAACAGGCAGCAAACTGAAAGTAAGCCACATTTATCTGTAACATTCACAGAGGCAAAGGAGAAGAAAACTAGCTACGATGAGACTGTCATTTTTATTTTCTCCTTTTTTTACCCACAAACATAGTTTCAAGGATAAAGCAAAATCCTCATATTTCACAATTACCGTTTATGGTTAGGGACTTGTTTGGGTTGCTTTTTCACATTCAGAAGCTGTGAAACATGCCACATAATCTCATTAACTAACCTGGGAAATGGTCAGCATTTATTTTCCTGAATGCTCAATGCCAGCAAGCTTTGCCAGATCAGATTGCAGACTTTCTTCTACTTCCAACTCCCCAGTGGCTCTTCCTCAATGCTTACTGCTGTGAAACTAATACTGTGAATCATTCTACTGGATAACATGCCAATGGGCTGGCACCTGAACCAATTCACTCTCTATAGGATGTTAAGGTACCTTGGTACAGATCAGACAGAATTATTTTCCCTTCATAGTTTACAGATAGGAAATAACTGATCAGTAACAGATGTTGTTAAGGTTGAAAAGCAACTAAGAGGTGTCACCACCATCATGAGGCTGACTCAGCTGCAAAAAGACTTCTTCATCTGCCCTACAGTGGGGATGTACAAGTCAAGTGTAATCTGTAATCAGCCCTCAGGAAGAATGGAAAACAAGTCTTACAAGGAGCAGCTGAGGGAACGGGGGTTGTTTAGGCTGGAGATAAGGAGGCTGAGAGGAGACCTTATTGCTCTGTACAGCTACCTGAAAGGAGGTTGTAGCAAGGTGGGGGTTGGGCTCTTCTCCCAAGTGATAGGACAAAAAGAAAATGGCCTCAAGTTGTACCAGGGAAGGTTTAGATTGAATAATTGAAGACACATTTTGACTGAAAGGGTTATCAAACACTGGAATAGGCTGTCCAGGGAGGTGGTTGAATCACCATCCCCAAAAACACAACAAAACCAACCAAACCAAATACAGGAGACACCCCAGGAAATCAACAGGCAGCAAACTGAAAGTAAGCCACATTTATCTGTAACATTCACAGAGGCAAAGGAGAAGAAAACTAGCTACGATGAGACTGTCATTTTTATTTTCTCCTTTTTTTACCCACAAACATAGTTTCAAGGATAAAGCAAAATCCTCATATTTCACAATTACCGTTTATGGTTAGGGACTTGTTTGGGTTGCTTTTTCACATTCAGAAGCTGTGAAACATGCCACATAATCTCATTAACTAACCTGGGAAATGGTCAGCATTTATTTTCCTGAATGCTCAATGCCAGCAAGCTTTGCCAGATCAGATTGCAGACTTTCTTCTACTTCCAACTCCCCAGTGGCTCTTCCTCAATGCTTACTGCTGTGAAACTAATACTGTGAATCATTCTACTGGATAACATGCCAATGGGCTGGCACCTGAACCAATTCACTCTCTATAGGATGTTAAGGTACCTTGGTACAGATCAGACAGAATTATTTTCCCTTCATAGTTTACAGATAGGAAATAACTGATCAGTAACAGATGTTGTTAAGGTTGAAAAGCAACTAAGAGGTGTCACCACCATCATGAGGCTGACTCAGCTGCAAAAAGACTTCTTCATCTGCCCTACAGTGGGGATGTACAAGTCAAGTGTAATCTGTAATCAGCCCTCAGGAAGAATGGAAAACAAGTCTTACAAGGAGCAGCTGAGGGAACTGGGGTTGTTTAGGCTGGAGATAAGGAGGCTGAGAGGAGACCTTATTGCTCTGTACAGCTACCTGAAAGGAGGTTGTAGCAAGGTGGGGGTTGGGCTCTTCTCCCAAGTGATAGGACAAAAAGAAAATGGCCTCAAGTTGTACCAGGGAAGGTTTAGATTGAATAATTGAAGACACATTTTGACTGAAAGGGTTATCAAACACTGGAATAGGCTGTCCAGGGAGGTGGTTGAATCACCATCCTTGGAAGAATTTAAAAGACGCGTAGATCTGGTGCTTAGGGACATGGTTTAGTACCAGACTTGGTAGAGTTAAGTTAGTGGTTGGACTTGACGATGTTAAAGGTCTTTTTCAACCCAAAAGATTCTATGGAAGTGTGCTCAGATTTATCCTTTGGCAACAGCACCAGCAGCACTGCTGCAACACACACTGCTCACTTTCAAACCTACTTCATATTCTGAGATCAGTGTTTCAGAGCACTCCTTCACAAGCAGAACAGCACTTTTAACTTTTTTTCTTTGTATTTCATCCAATTCTCAGACAGCTGAGTTCCATCCACACTTTTCCTGTGCCATTTTAATGAAATGTGTGATCTGCTGCCCTCTCTCCTGACTGGGCTCTGTCTGACTAGGATTACATTCTGATTCACCCATATTCCCCAGAAAGCTTCAGGGACATCAGAGTATGTATCTAATGAATATTTACAAAATAATGCCCTAGAGGGAAAGAAAATATGATGAGTTTTCAATGTGCGGTGGAAAACGGCCCACTGAACATCTTTAAATAGGCATTTGCAAGTACTTGCAATAAAAGTCAAATTAGAAATCTTTGCAGCTAAAGAAAGAGTGAGGATAGTCAGATTTTGCAGCTCAGAACAGATTTTTGGGAATTACTGTGCATTGAAACTGCAGCTTCCACTCTACAGACCACAAGGCTGGGCTGATCAGCTCTACAGAAAAAATAAATAAATTGCATTTACCTGTATGAATTCAGAGTGGTCATACCTATAAAATAGTAGCAGGCCAGCAGCCAGTAGAAGCAGGAGTCTGGTGTTCATTGGTAGAAGAATCACTCCTATATTTAATAATTATTTTTTTCCAGAATCCTAGCACACATAGAGGTGAAGGTTTGAATTCAAAAACCTCTCTGGAAGAAATGCAACTGCTGTGACTGGTCACATTCAACTGATGCAAAGCATTGCACCAGGAACACCAACACCAGTTTTAAACATCTCATTTGCCTTGAGGAAAACAATGTATTTTCAAAATATACATAGTAACCAGACTGACTGCTACTTGGAATTGAACATGGCAGTTTAAATCTATAAAACAATACCTAGACTGCTACAGACAGCTGTGGGAAAACAGAACTTGTATAGTGCTTATTTTGTTAGTTTTCTTGGAAGGACCAGTGCAGAGGAGTGGAGAGAAGCAGTGCTTGCTTGGGTGTTGACCTTCGGACACAACAAATAGGCTGATTGATGTCTGTTAGGAAGGGCAGGCCTGGCTGGAAGGGAGACTTCACTGTCCTTCCCTACTTGGCAGGTCTGTGCATGAGTTTGTGAAGCGAAGCGAAGGCTCCATGGTCAGAGGTTGTGTGATAAAGGCCAAGACTCTGGCTACTTATCATCAGGCACGAGTCTCGAGGTTTGCAAATGAAGCAACACGAAGGCTCCATGGCCAGAGGTTATGCATTTAACCCAGGATCCAAGCCTGTGTGACTTCACCTGGTGATTTGCCTGCAAAGTGAGCCCTGGGTGCTAACGAAGCTTGAATGTACATGTGGAGCGAGTGCTGGGAGACTCCCCTACCTTTTCCCAAATTAATAAATATAATTCGTTTTTTGAGAACCAATCAATACACTTGTTATGACCCAAATCCCACCTCATCAAGAGACGTTCAATTAGTCCTTGGATCCTTTGTTTGGGAAGAGAAGAGCACCTCTGCTGGAACGGGTTGACGGGCCTGACCCACTCTTCTTTCTCCCAAGCAGGGACCCCTCCTTGGGTAGGGTAGGGGTGAAAGCATCCATTGCTAGCAATGTTAACATCTATTAGTAGCACTATTGTAGTCAGTGTGTTTATGAACAGGTATTTTGAGCTTGCCTTAATAAATTACCTTACATTTTTATACCTAACTACTTTGTATTTGCAGCTTTGTAAACCCATCCTCATGGCAGGCCCCACGAGGACAGCGGGACACACGTGTGCTTAAGGAGTCATACATATAAACACACATGATCAATGAATCATAAACCATGGGACAAAAGACCCCCACAAGTTCAGCTGCCCCCAGCACCCCTGCATAAGAGGGTTTACTGGGTAGCAATGGGTCTGTAGTCTGAAATCCTGTGGCTTTACTGGGAGGGTCCCCTCAGCCACGTATCTGTGCCCCGCTGATCAACAGCTACAGATCCTGTTCACACACCCAGCCTTTTTCCTTCGTGTGGCAACAACTTCCCGATAAAGCAGCTAATGATCTGTAGTAATTCCTTGCCACACACTACGGCAGCAGGAAGTCTTCAGTTCTGTGATTTACTGGCAACAAACGGATCAGCCCCTGAAGCCCCAGGAGTGCTGGGTCCTCCCTTGCTGCTGGCAGGTGCTGAGGAGCACCCCTGAACACCGCAGGTTCTCCAGCCTTCTTGTTGGTTTATAAAAACGGCAACAAAAAAACCCAAACTCATTCTTGCCCCTGCACACGTTTTGATTGTTGCGTTTATAGAGCTGAAAGCTGCAGGCGGCTCAGGCCTGGGGAAGGACCCGGCGAGTCCGAACACAAACGTAACTCGCACGACCCGCAGAAAGACAGACCGGTCTGACAGCGCTAACGGGGACAGAGGATTTATTGACGAAGCTAAAAGTTCCTAAGCCTGGTTCCTGTGCTCCCCCGGGTGCCTCACCCGGAGCAGGAGGCGAGTCCGGCGGCGGGAAGCGCGGCAGGGCCGCCCGGGCACCGCAGGGAGCCGAGGTTTTCCTGAGGGCGAAGCCCCCGGTTCCCTGCGAGGAGAACCGAGCAG